AATCCAAAAAGGGTGTTCTTTGGAGTGAAAAACGGAGATTGAATTGGTTCATAAGTTTCACTTATCGTGGCATTTGAAAATGTTGGGATTGTACACATGAATTATGGGAACATAACTTGCTTAAAATCTCATTGCAGGGGCCTCAGTGAAACTGCTAGGCAAAACAAAAGCGATGCCTATGCCGCAATGGTATGAAAATCGCTTCGATTTATGCTCATTGCATATCGCACCTTTCTCGTTACGCTTTTGCTTATTATTTTCTTTCCATGGCTTTGGTGGTAGTAGATGGTGCTGGAGAGATATTTTTCCATGTCAGGCGAGGGAACTGAACTTGTACTGCCCAAGAATGTGGATCTACAAGAGAGACTTCGAAGGGGGCCTGCCAGGGACATCGATTTTTTCCCTGAAGAATGAGGACTGACTAACAATTTTCTGTGCGAGAAGAAACAAACTGTGAATTACTTGGGACAAGTCGATTATGTTGAGCGAACGAGTGGAAAAAAGTTATCAAATTGTAGGATTAAAACCTGTGGAATACATTGCTATATTTGCATATGCTTTTGGTCCTTGTGACATGTCGTACCAGCAGGTTAAGATAAGCACCATAGAGGGGAGATGCAGGATAAGCTCATGGATGAACCAATTCTGTATTGGTTTTGTTCCGTGGTAATTTGATTTAAAGAATAAATAAAATAAAATAAAATAATAGACTATTCATTTTCATCCAGGCAAACTCTATTATATTGCTTGGAGCCAATAAAATTGGCTCGACAAAAATTACACACACGCACCGACACACATTTAAGTATAAACACGAATATACAATCATGTGTCTGCGCTCGCGCACACATAATTAATATACAATTGTGACAATAGATACAACACTTTCTAGGGTTTGGGAAGCTATTCAGTAACAATTGTCTAAATAGGAGATTACTTGTACAATTCAGCAATATCAGAAACCCCGACCTCTCTGCCGTCTGAATCCATCCATGAGAGGAAGCTCTTGAACCACCACCCCCCAAGCTTGTTGGAAGTTGCATGTATATAAGAAAATCCAGCTCTATAATCTTTATTTGTTTAATGCTTTCCTCCTAAATTAATATCGTATAATAACTCGGAAGGCATCTAAGAAAAGAAATCAAATTTCAGTTTGGTGAACAATACGATGAACTAAA